CATGTAAAATTTTTATCGTATTGCACTTTTAGGACTGACAGAAATCGGTGGTCTGGCAACATTGCAACTATCTAATCACAAAAATGGATCTTGTGGAAATGTAGTCAATAATATGCAAATGAAAATCGTGGATCCAGAAACTGGTAAAACAATCATTGGACCGAATCAATCGGGAGAAATATGGTTAAAAACTACGATGATGATGAACGGTTATTATAAAAATCCCGAGGCAACAAAAAATACAATTGATGAAGATGGTAAATAAATTTCTATTTCTTATAATAATAATAATGCAAAATTTTTTAATTAATTACAAGCATTAAGTATATGCAAACTAAATAAATGGTATTATTTATATTAAATAAAAATATTTAAGAATGTTATAAAAATCTATTTCTATAATAAAAGCAAATTCGAAATTTCTTCAGGATGGTTGCACACAGGTGATATTGGTTATGTAGACGAAGACGGAGAACTGTTCATTATCGATAGGATAAAAGAACTTATAAAGTATAGAGGATATCAGATTTCACCTGGAGAAATTGAAGGTGTCTTAATGTCGCATCCAGCAGTGTTAGAAGCTGCAGTAATATCGGTGCCTCATGCAATCGATGATGAGCATCCTCTTGCTTTTATCACTAAAAAACCTGGCGCTAAGGTATTTGATATTTCATAGTGAAAATAAAATTAGAGAACGAGAGTTTGAAAATTGAAACTTATCAGTTTTCCAACCAAAAGAATAATTACAAATTGATTCTATATATTTCGAAATTAATTTTTAAATTAGAATAATCGCACTCGTACAAATACAAATGTTGTTGTAAGATAACATTAAAAAACTATTCAAAATTTTATAAAGCTGTGAAAAAATCGAGAATAAATAACTTTAAAATGAAAATTTTCAATTACGTTTCCAACTATAATTGTATATGTATATACAATACTGTTGAAATATAAATAATATTAATATTTTGTTAATATTGAAATTTTATTATAAATTCTTAATAATTGTGTTGTGGAAATTTCTTAATATACTAATATGTAAATTTTTATTTTCATTTTTATATTAAGTAAAATTAAATTTTATATTATTTAAAGCATTATTTTTATAAATATTTGTAAAGTAAAAATTATTTATTTTGTGCTTTAAAATGTCCTTTGTCTTAATAATTAAATTTTATTTTTTTCTTTCAGGAGACTGAGGAAGAATTCATAAATTTTATAGCGAAGAATATGATGGATCACTACAAACTTCGTGGTGGAGTAATATTTCTGGAAAAGTTTCCATATACAGGTTCA